TCGGTAATGGGCCACAATAATCAACCACATTGTATATTGACAAAATAAAATTAAAAAAAAAAATATATATATATGATGTATAAGACATCACTGGGACAACTGACAAAATTTGAATGTGTACTACATAATTGATAAAACTATTGAATCAATGTTAAATTTCCTAAATTTGTAAGTGTACTGTGGTTATGTAAAACAAAGAACAAAAAAGTTGTTTGAAGGAGACACACTTCAAAATATTTAGCAGTAAAGAGCAGGATGTCTGCAACTAATTCTCACATGGTTGAGGAGAGAACACGTATCCATACAGAGAGGGAGGAAGTGATAAAGCACATGTGGGCAAATGTCAACAACGGGTGACCTAAAGCTAAGGTTATGGGAGAGTTTTTTGTGCAGTAACTATAATTCTTTTTTTCTCCTTTTTGTTTTTTTTTTTACTGACCGGTAATGGGATCGCAACCCTCGGTGTCGCGCCCATACCGGGGACCGGCAACGGGACCGCAACCCTCGGCGTTGCACCTGCACCGCGCTCAGCCAGTGAGCGGAACCGGTCTCCACATGGGATCCGAACCCTCGGCGGGAGCGCCGCCGCGCTCCCAAGCGGCGCACTCTCCAGTGCGTCACCGGGCCAGCCCTATAATTCTTGTATAAATTCTAAATATTTGAAAGAAAGAGAAAAAGAAAAAAAGCTTAGAGGATAAGGTTGGGACCCAGATGGAAAAGGACCTTGATGTATCAGAAAAGGAAAAAGGGATAAAGAAGACATGAGACTAAATGCAAATGAGAAATTTCTATCTTTGTGCAAATTAGAAAAACCCACCTTGTCCTCATGAACTTTACTACTGCCATCTACTGGAAAATTGTCATAAGAAATATAAGTGTCCCCTAGACTGTGTGCAGTATACAACCTGAACAATAGTTTAGAGGACTCTGGGCTCTAAACTATGGTGGACTTATAGTATGGGCTAGAAGAGGGACTTAATGAAAGGGGGAATATAGAGGGAGAGCTTGGAAAAGATGATTCAGTACATCAAACCTCTGTCTGGAATAATCCTCTCCCACAAATTCCCATAGCTTGCTCCTTCACATCATTCAGATCCTGGTTCAAGGGCTAATTCCTCAGACTGTCCACCCTGTCTAATGGTACCATCAAGAAAGTGATGAGAAGGGCTGGCCCGTGGCTTACTTGGGAGACTGTGGTGCTGATAACACCAAGTCAAGGGTTAAGATCCCCTTACCGGTCATCTTTAAAAAAAAAAAAAAAAAAAAAAAAAAGCAATGAGAAAATGCACAGAATGAGAGAATATATTTGCTAACTATATATCT